TCAAAAATTTTTAAAACAGAATTCGAAGATAAATAACTCAAAGTAATGTTTAATAGGATTATATTAACTGTATATTAAAAAAAATTAATTATCAAAAGTCAATGCTTAACACCAACTCTACCTAGCGGCAAGAAAACGACTTAATCTCTTAAATGTAATGTCCACCGCCAGGTCGCGATAGTGACTAGAGGTGTAAATAATAAAATATAAGTGTAAAATATTTATTTCTAACCAGAATATATTTATTATTTCCCACTTTAATAATTAAGTTTTATGACATAAGAAAGTTATTATTATTATTACATAAGTAAAGGTTCAATGCAAAAGAATTTGTCCAATAGAAACATTTAAAATTTTCATACGAGGTATATATTTGTGTATAATAGATAATAAAAACACCTAGCTATAGTTAAATTTCTAAGTTCAAAGAGAAAATTAAAATATAAATTGTAAGTGTATTTCTAAATTATATGAGTATTATTTAAAACCATTTGTGACTAATATTTTTAATAATAATTTTAATAGTCAAAAACTACAAAATAAATAAGTGGTACACATGAACATAAAAATAAATTAATAATGTTTCATTTGTTTATTAAATAGGTTCTAATGCTTTATATGATAAATACTTTCTTTGCCACTTTAGAATTATACTAAATTTTATTCAGATACTAAAAAACCTCTTCAAGAATGTTTAGTATTAATTCAAACTAGTGAAAGTTTGGAATTCTTGCATTGCTAATTTTATCGATGCTTTTCATATTGATAAATATATTTCTGGTTTGCTTTATAGAGACTTTTAATTAATTTAAAATGTGCCAAAGAGAAAAAATAAAACAACAAATAGATATAGTACATTTTAAAATATATTTTATGAAGTTACCTGCTGAGATTATTATATGAGAAATAAATCAATAATATTTCCTCAGTTATTCTCCATTTAATCATCTCTTATAAACACAGTGTCTTGTGAAAACTTTTAATTTAAACGGCAGAAGTCATCAAAATGCAAAAATTCTTTCATTGTTCATAATGATTTGGCGATAATTCTAAAATCCCTGGTTTGTCCGAGAAATCTTTGTGAGTGGAGCTAAGCCTGAAGATTAAACTCAAACCTTCTTTAATTTTTTAAAAACGTTTCAATTTGGTTTAAATTATTTTATTCAATTGTCCTATTTTGTAAGTTGATAGCTATTTCAATAACAAAAGATTGCATACACACTAAGAGGGTATCCCTTGGTTTGTTTACCTATACATAAATCATCTTATGACAAGAGCACCTGTGATGTTTTTCTCATTTTTTTTTCTGTACAAAATATAATTTGGTTATTCTAAAATTGTTTTGTTATTTTAGATAATGAGTAGTAAAAAGAATAATTTATAAATTTTATAACAATAGATATACGTTGATAATAATTTTAAAGAGAAGATTTTAAATATAAACTTAAAAATACCAAAGATTAAAATACTTTCTCAGTAGACAGAAGATTAATTTATGATTTCTAACTAATAAATCAATCACATTATCAATTCATAATGAAGCAATATGAATAAGATTGTAAAATATTTATGATATTTAATGTGCATCTTAGACTTTGATTAAACATTTGAATCTTAGGTGCAATTACATAGGAAGCAACGTAAACAAGACTCCCATGAAACCCTATCCCTACCTTAAGGGGGACAGTAAATCAATGTAACGCCCATTATTGTTGATATATCAGGAGTAGGCTCAGGTAGATGAGTTATTGTTATTATCTAATAAATTGACTGTGCGCCGTCATGATTTAGATCATAAATTGCTGTTGCCAATACAACCAAACATCTTCCAAACATCCTTAGCAAGAAATTTTTATTTTAAAACAGGGAATTGTCACTTCACTTCTTAAAGAAGAAATATTTCATTTGCAATTATGTTTAAACTTGTAATTACTTAAAAACATAAATCCTTTTGTGAAAATATCTTTAAAACATATAAATATATAATTTTTTTTTTTAATATTTTTTTTTTATAAATTAAATTAAATCGATCATTTATATTTTTACTTTGTACTGAAATTGTTCTTTCGACTAACAAGTATCTTTGTGCAATATCTAATTAAATAATAATTGTACAAAAAAAAAAGATGGTCCGGACGTGGGTCAGAAAAACATTAAATAATTAATAATAAAATTAATCGATATTATTATTAATAAAAATAATTAATAAAAATTAATTAATAAAAATTAATAATTATTATAATAATTTTTTCAATGCCAATATATCAATCCGCATAATACATCTTCATCAGCACTAAAATACAGATGATTGATGGAAAAACAATAGTATCAAATATAAAATCATATAGTAATCTGATGGGCTTTATTTTTATTGACTACAAGCAATATCTTCCGGAAACTATTATACTTACCTACAGTTTTCCAGATTGAATGATACTTATACTGCTCCATAAAAGATTGGTTCGTTTCAATATTTCTTAACTTATCACGGTCCATGAATATGATGCAGTAAAGAATGGTCCAGCAATTTTAATGATTAGTTTTTACAAATAAAAAATGGTTATTCTTTTATAAAATAATTTGATTGCAATTCTAAAGATATGTATATTTTAGAAAATGTGACAGTGAATACAACAAACATGGGGCACTCTGGGACCCCACCCCAACATGCTCGACCATCTCGTCCTCTTTATGAGATATGACTAGAGACCGTATTCTCAAACAGTATAAAACCAAAAAAACGTGCAATATAAAACTCAAAATGTTTAAAATCGTGCAGTAAAAACCCAAAACGTGTAGAATTGTAAACATAATATGCAAAAATCATAGTTTTTGTTTAATTCACATATTTTTGAAGAAAAAAAAACAATGAATTTTTTAATTGAGGTTTGACTTTACACCTATAAACCAATTTAAATGTTTCAAAAAGTAGATTTTGAATTTCTAGCTAAGCTCTCGTAAACTGGCAGAGTTTTGTCAAAAAACATTCAGCCTAAGGGCAATAAAACATTTGTTTACAAATAGTTCATACTTGTTTGTTTTAAAACTGCAAAATAAATAAACACATGAACCGCAAATAACAGAACTACGAAGATAAGGGGCTTTGTAAGTGACTATATTCACTCGCATTAAATTAAATTGTTAAATATGTTACTCCCAATTACACTATTATTTATAAAATAAAATTTGTATGCTTGGACAGTAATTCTGTTACTTGTAGACAACAACGTGAGTTCAAAATATCCTATTATCCCAGAAAGATAACTTGAAAATGTTATTTTAAATAAAACAATAGAGAACAAAAAATTTAAAAACTATTCCCAGCCTTATGCAGTCCATGGGTTGGATATGCCTGTTCTCAAGTACAAACCTAATGTAATATATAATAAATGTAAATAATCATTTATTTACATACTTATGTACATGTTATAAAGATTAAAAATATAAAAAGATTAATGTGCAATTAAGGCCAAAACGTGCAATTTTGTGTAAAATTATATTTCAATATTGTATTCTACAGATCGTCAAACAGATATATTGTCGGGTTTGAAGTTTTTACACCTATGAAAACAAAATGTGCAATAATATGAAAATCCAGTCTCTACATATAACAATATGCCTTAAATTATATCAATACTTCAAGCAGAAAATTATTTATACACAATTTGGTTGGAAAGTTGTAGTCATATTAAACACTCAATTTTTTATCTTGACAATGATTTATAAATAAATTATAAAGTTATTTACAAAAATTTATTAAATTTATGCGAACATTGGAATCACCTACATACATCCTTTGAAACTGTTGTAACACTTTAAAAAAATCATTATTTTTTAAAATTCCGAAATACTGTTTAGAAATGAAGTAAGATGATACTTGATTTCAAAATTTAACAGTAATGTAGTAGTTGTTAGCCCCAGGAATATTTTTTTATATTAAACTACAATTCAGATATTGAGAACAACACAAATCAATGTTTTCTCATTATTTGGAAGAATGTGAGCACTTGAGTAACTTATTTGAACCTTTATGACTACTATCTAATTTATAATATATGTGCAGAGAGTCAGTAAGTTAATTCCAGAGTAGATGATTGCAGTGTTGAAATATAGCGCTGTGAATAAAGGTATAAAATTTCCTGCTAAAAATATCATTAAAATTAATAATAAAAAATGTAAAAATTGAAGTGGTTCTGTCAACTGAAAGGCTCATTTTACAATCATTTTTAAATTTTATGTAAAAAGAACTAAACATTTCTTTTATATTTGAAATAGAAGTAATGAAAAGAATAGAGACATTTTATTTGCTAAATTACTAGATAATCATTATTTGAAAGCAAAAGTAAAAAAAACACTACTTGGACAAAAACCATAGCAGCAACCTAAAACCAAATGTTTAGACAGAATAAATAAGGGTATGCCAAGCTATATTTCATTTATTTTTATTTAACAATTAAATTATTGATTTTAGAAAAGCACTTTAAATTAGAGTTGTCAATAAAAAACTAATACCTAAAAAATCATTAAAGTAATTGTGAAAAATGCTGTAAAGTTAGAACTGAATTGTAAAGTAAAAGTTAAAACTTAACATTAAACTTTAAAGTAATATTCTTGATTTTCATCTGAATTTATAATTTACTAAATTATTATTATCATAAAGGATTCTTAGGATATGTATGGCAAGACCATGACATTATTTCATATTTTTATTTGTATAAAATAAATACATAGATAAAAAATATTTTAACTACAAAATTTTTGTTTTGTTCTCCTTAATACTTCCATGTCAGATTTTCATATTTTACATCACATGTTTTTTCCAACCCTAAATAAAGTGTGCTTTAACTTCCAAGTATTTTAAATAGTATTTTCCGTCTCAGTATTTTATTCCCTGACCTCCAATACCTTTATATATACTGCTTGATAAATAGTGTTAATACTTGATAATTAAACTGATAGCCAACACATTGCAGTGAGCAATTCATATATATAAACGTGTCAGTTGCTAAGCAACAAAGCATTTAATGATGAATTGAGGCAACTCACTCTAAATTTAACGTCTTCATTCCTTTTTGTTCCTCATTAACCCATCGATCACAGATACATTACATAGCTCATTTATATTCATTCCATGATGAGTTATTTAATCTTCTCAAATTGAGAACTATGATAAGGTGATGGTGATTGGTAACCACTTTGGAAATTGTATGATGGTGATGAAATGTGAACAAATGAAGATGGTGTTGTACTCCCAGTTTGGTCTGGAGAAGCCAATACCTTCAATCTTTCTTCAGTAACAAGACTTTGGATTCTTTCCTGAAGAATTATAAAACTTCTTGTCGGTAATGTTCTTAGTTGAGACACAATGTGCATAGCAAAATAGTAATATTCATCTTCTACAACATCACATGACCTCATAACTGGGAATTTATGGAGTTTAGTCACAGATTGATTCAGAGTTTCAAAAGAATCAGACTCTTTCTTAATCTTTTTCATGGGCGGCTGAGGAGAACTGCTCATTTCTATTAACGGCTCACATTTGATTTTTATTGAAGAAACTGACTCATTCGCTGCATTCGTATTACAATAGTCTTCAGAAGCTGGTTGAGGAATCTCATTATTCATACATTCAGTATTTTGTACGCCATCACTATAGTGAACTTCATCTTTTATTGTAGTTGTTGCCATTACTACATCATCCTGTAAACAAATAAGAACAAAGTAGTGTAAAACTATCGTAATGTACAGAGAAAAAGAAATTACCACAACATACAATTTTATTTATCTCAACATCAAGAGATCTAAACATAAAAGAGATTAACATTTCTGTATTTAAAAAAAAATAGTTTAGTATTTGAGGGAAAACAACTATTTCATAACACTTTAAAACATCAGAGTTGAATGGTAAGAGTTTGTTTTGCATTATCTAAGTCCTATATATTAAAAATACTAATTTTATTTCTATACATTACATAGTTTATTAGATTGATATTAAAATAGATTTGATTTAAATGTCAGAATTTATTTTGGCCCTAATAGTAACTCTTACCCTAATAACTCTTGAATTTAAAAGAAAATATTCATCAGTATCAATATTCATGAGTTAATTCTTATTACACCCCAATAATATTATTATTATTTTCATTTTAATGAAAATACAGCCAACCTTTCAAACTCTTTTTATTTTTCTACAAGATGACAAATGAACGGTTTACTATCAAAAGGATCCATATCCAATTTGAATTTTGTTTTCAATATGGTGAAAAAAAGAATTAGAGTACTAATGATATAACTATCCTCGTTTTCTGAATACAGTAATAAATTTATTAAGAATAAAAAAATAGCATGCAGAATCATATTCATATGTGTCTTTGTTCAGAACAGTGCCTGCCTTAGTCATTTGTACTCCTGGGCAATGATGTCATATCTTTTCAAAAAGTTTAATTTATTTCTTAAGGTCTTTCATATTAATTAATATTTGAATTTCATTCCATTTAATGTTTCTCTAATTCACTTTCTTTGCTAGTAAACTAAATTTAATTATTCTAATATACTTTGTAATTGTTATTTTATTCCTAACAAGTAGCGAGCCTGGGCAATTGTCCGGCCCGAAACGCAGTGGTCCCAAATGCTGAAAAAGTGGAAATAATACTATTTGTTTATGTTCTTGCCTGGACTAAAACTACCAATATCCGTTCAAAGCTACAGGTCTAAACCTATCCAGAGCCAGATTTTCAGAGCATTAAAATAAATTGTAAGTTCATGAGTCTAATTGAAGTAATGAAAAACATGTACAAATATTTGACTAACCAATATTTTCAGTTTTCACTGAATTGTTATAAAATTTTTGTTTATGTCTACTTAAATGCTTTTCCATTTTTAAGAGAATATAAATACGTGTCGATAGAGCAAAAAAAAATTATTTCCCTCATCAGGAACTATTTCAAAATGTAGGTAATTTTGGAAGTTCCAGAATAATTCTGTGCATTTGCTCCGCTGAAAATTTATTGATCACTTTCAATTGTTGGAAAATGTTTCGAAATCCTTTATTGAGATGCTTACGTCAATAATGAACAAAGGATAGCTGTCTCCGTTGCCTTGAGACTCTTTGGAAATATTTATTTGTAGGCGTTTTCTCAATACCTGTGGTGCGGAGATAAACATGATAACTATTGTGACTAGTTTAACAATAAACTTTAATAAAGTTTTGTGTCATGTGTTATATATTAAAGAAAATAAAAAAAGAAAGATAAAATTTGGGTAAGATGAACAGTCAAAATATTATCAATTATAAGAACGAAGAATAAAGAAAAAATGAAAAACAATTCATGAACAAAAATTAACCGATACGTGTTAAAAAAAAGCATTTAAAAATAAACTAAGATTTAATAATCTCATATATATATGTCTTTAGAAGCTAAAACAAGAATTTCTAAAGCTAAAAAAAAAATAATAGAATTTAATAGTAAGATATCTCACATTCTCTACCATAGTCTCATATATTTTTGTATTTTTAAATATCATTTCTGATAATATTTTATATTCATTGCACAGATAATGGAGTATATTTAGTAGTGGTGCTATAAAATAAAGAAACAAGAAAATCTATTGAAAAATAACAGAATTATAGAATTATGTCAAAAATAATCTAGTTTGGGACCACTGTGCGAAGATCAGCAGTGGTTCATACATGGATATAATCCTTTAAAAAAAGAAAAGAATTCTCTTAGAAAAATAAAAAATCATATTATTAAAAAGTAATTCAAGTTCCTAAATATAAAATACTTCCCAATCTTCCTCCCTCCTATAACTTTGATTTCTATATCTTTCATAGAGTGTTACCAGTGGGTAGTTTCTCAACAAGTCATTTCATGTTATTATTTTCTGTTATCAAATTTACTTAATGTATTTAATTTGTTAATACAGTTGTAAATATCATGAATAAATAAATAAATATCTTTCTCTGCTCTTCGCAGCTTTTAGTTTGTTTTTTTTGTTTCAAAATGTTCTTTACGAATCCTGAGCACGGTTGGCGAGTAGGAAACTGTGGGCTTGAACCGAAATAAATAATCTTCAGTGATTTTACAATAGCTGGAGAGATTCTCATTACCCAAAACGAAACTAAATGGAATACAGTATGCGTTTTCGTTTTCCCTTGTACAAAACAAATAAAGCATATCAACATGCAAATCAAGATTCCATAAGAGATAAAACAAGGGAGACCCAATTTCCATTGTTTCACTTCCACATTTTGTTTCCGTTCATAACGTGATTAGCGTAGAACCAGGAATCCCTAAAATCCATCAATAGACAACTGAAGGACAAAAGGCTATTTGACGTCGGTAGAATATTTCGCCGATCGGAATGATTAGCAAAAGGTTTATTAATTGTCTCCAAAAACTATTTCATTGCGTTTTAAATCATTAAGGCTTCTTACATCAATTCGGAAAAGTTTTGCCATTCTTTTACGAATCAGCAACAGAGTAATCTTTTCGCGTTTTTAATTTTTCCGTCCATTTTAGCTTGCTTTTCAATCTATTTCATTTTGCACAAACATCAAACGGTAGTGACGAGAAGCTTATGTTAAAATCATTAGTAAAAACTTAGTAAAAAAAAAATATACATCTAATATAAAAAAAAAATCTAATCTAAAAAAAATATACATGTTAAAATCATTAGTAAAAAGGATGTGAGATATCTTACTATTAAATTCTTTTTTTTTTTTTTTTTTTGAGCTTTAGAAATTCTTGTTTTAGCTCCTAAGGCCATTATATATATATATATATATATATATATATATATATATATATATATATATATATATATATATATATTAATAGATTTTAACATACATCGTATTTTGATGGCAAATTTCAGAATAAAGCGATCAACACCAGGATTTCCACTTCGATGAAAATGTTCCTTTTTTAGGAAAATTACAAGATTAGGAGGAAAAAAAGGCAAATAATTTTTATCTATCAAAGGCTAATCTGAGTTTAATCTATCTTTTTGATTAAAAACTTTATTAAAAAATAAACTTAAAAATCTCTTTCGCACAAATATATTCAAAATAATATGTTATATTATTTGTTATTAGTCGTTTTATGTCTGTTCTACTTGTATCACTGGCGGATCTAATTTTGGATTTAATTTTGGGGAGGGCTTCAGCCCGAAAGATTTTTTTTTACGATAATTAATTTGAAAAAATAGAAGGAAATTAACTACCTATATGAAGTGGTTCTTGAAGTCCTATTGAATGTAATTACATGAATGAGAATACTTTAAGAGATAGTTTTCAATATTTTTTTCTGTAAAATATGGTTATATTTTACCATTTTTGGGGGAGAGGAGGAGGGAAGCGGCTTCAGCCCTAATGCCCCAACCGTAGATTCGCCTGTGACGTGTATTATTATACATATTACACAGATACAATTTACTATAATTAAACGAATACGTGTTCTATAATGTTGCTAAGTATATTCCGTTCAAAACATATCTTTGTTAAATTGTATCGAACGTGGCAATTTTTTTTTCTAAATACTGCTTATTAAACAGAAATGACACCATTGCGCTGAGTTACCATAGTGATGAGTATACAGAGCGTGCTTCTCATCCCCCTCCCTGTTATATCAATATATAAAAGTTTTTTCGATCGCTGTTATCACACTTTTTAGCGTGACAATTAATATTATATATATTTAAGTATTTTCTCTGCCAAGCATTTTTACAAGATGTATATATATATATTTTTTTTACTAAGTTTTTACTAATGATTTTAACATAAGCTTCTCGTCACTACCGATTATATATATATATTAATGATTTAATGAATTAAGGATATTAATCGAACTGTTCATTGAAAAATAAATGTGGCTTTACTTTATTTTAAATTTTACTCTTAATAAATATAAGGGGGAGAGGGGTATCTTTAGACAGAGATTTTCTTTTTTTTTAAGAATAATTTATATAAGCTAACATTTTTTCTGGTAGCTTATAATTATAATTTTTCTATTATATTACTTCATGATTGAGAAAACAGTATATAATATTAAATAACTCACCATGCCAACGTTGGATGGACGAATACTTGTGACACTGTTCAAAAACGAATCGGCTTCACTGTACCAAAGTAGTTTGGGTTTATATTCAAATTGAGAACCATCAATCATAGACTTCTTCACCTTGTTCAATTCACTCCTGTATACGTCCTTTATGTTCTTAATTTTTTTTCTTAGATGTATTTCAGAGGGGATGTCGAATCCAAGTTCAGTCAGTTCAACAAGCAACTTTCTCAAACTTATTCGCCGCACATATTTTTTATTGAAATTGTCGTTATTTGTGTTCCACAGTTCTTCATATTTCCGAAAAATACTCAAAAATTGTAATAATTCGTGGCCTGTCCATTTCAACAATCGAGCTTCTCTGTTCGACATGATTTAAACCAAAAAACTAAGGAACGAGCCACCAGAAACAATGAACTTAAAAGTCGCTTGGCTGACAATGAAGGAGCGAGTAGCGAGTTAGAAATAACAGAAGAGGCGAAAGCAGCGCTTCCATGCGGCGAATAGGTCACGTGACCAAACTCGCTCGTTCCGCCGTGTTGGTCTAATCGATCGAGTTGCCGCAACATGACATCGCTGTAATTTCGCTTACCATTGGCTAAAGTTATTATTTTTAAGTACTCTTTGGCTAAAGCCAGTTCAAAGTATTCCACAATTCAATCGCTTCTTAGTTTAGGTAATGTAAAAAAAAAATGACAATAACACGACAATCAGGTATCTATGTTTTTTCCAAGCTCCTTCGATTGGCCAGCCCTGATGAAGGCCTGAACTACGGGCAGAAACGTCAGCAAATATAAAAATACATATAATTATTTATTTTTACTATTTTGGTTTATTATTTTCAAAAATGAACCATTGTGATCGACCAAAAAATTAAAAAACTTAACCCCGTCTCAAAATTTGAGGTTCCACGTTTCAGGATACGTAGATTTCGAAAAACGAATAAAAAATTTTTTGTCCGTCCACCTTCCGCCGTTCGCGCATTTTCTCCGAAACTACTGGACCGATTTTTTCAAATTTTGGTTTAAAATCAGAGATCACTCGAGGATGATCCTCCTTCATCGACATTACAATCCGCCTTTCGCTTTCAAGATGGCGACCGAAAAACCTGCCTTGCTATAGACTGTAGCGCCTAATCGAATGTGCCGATTTCAATGAAACTTGGCTAAAGTCTTTTTCTTGATGCCCTTTAAATTTATCTACATAACATACTTCAACGTACAGAAGCTGGAAAAAACGTTACGAGGGATGGTAAAAACTCAAAAAGTATACACTTTTTGGTTAATATTGTGATAAGATGTTTCAAAGGTATTCGAATTTCCTAAAAAATTAAGGAAGTTTCATCGAAACCAAAGCACTATTAGTAGAGATATCGTGATTTTAAAATATTTTTGGTTTATTATTTTCAATAATGCATCATTGTGATCGACTAAAAAATTCAAAAACTTAACCCCCTCTCAAAATTTGAGGTTTCATGTTTCAGGATACGTATAATTCGAAAAACAAATAATTTTTTTTTTGTCCGTCCGCCGTCCGCGCATTTTCTCCGAAACTACTGGACCGATTTTTTTCAAATTTGGGTTTAAAATCAGAGGTCACCCGAGGATGCTCCTCCTTCATCGACATTACTATCCGCCTTTTTATTTTAAAGATGGCGACCGAAAAACCTGCCTTGCTATAGACTGTAGGGCCTAAACGAATATGCCGATTTTTTATTTTGACTGATGACCCGAACCACCCTTCTCTTCAATTATTCACTGCAGTCAACCATCAATCCACAATTTATACAATAATCTGTTCGTGTTTTAGGCTCAAATTATAGGTATAATAAAAGACTCGCAAGATCTCATCCATGGGTGCCCATCTCCCCAAAGTGGATGACACAAAAGCCTAACTCCTCCATACCCCAAGATATTTCATTGCTCACCTTATCTCACTAGCGGATCCAGGATTTCATTTTGGGGGAGGGGGCTTCAGCCCGGATGATTTTTTTTTTTCATATACATATAATGATAATTAATTTGAAAAAAATAAAGAAATTAATTACCTATATGAAATGGTGTTTAAGTGGTTCTTGAAGTCCTATTAAATATAATCACACGAACAAGAATACTTTAAGATATAGTTTTTAATATTTTTTTCTGTAAAACATGGTTATATTTCACCATTTTGGAGGGGAGGGGGGGCTACAGCCCAAAAGCCCCCCCCCCCCCCCCGTAGATCCGCCTGTGCCTTATCTTAAAACAGAGCAAGGTAAAGTAGAATCAGAAAATCTTAAAACATTCATAATTACTCTTGCGACTGTCTGTTCCATGTTTTCTCCTTTTCCCTTATTCTAAAACTTTTCATTCGGAAAATTCATAACACTGTTGAGATGTGCTCCCTTCATAAATTCAAAAACCCGTAAAACATTTTGGTGGCGCAACTTACGCCATAGTACTAGCACATGTATAAGAAAGACCAATAAATAGCTGCTTTCAAAAATTGATCAGTCGATATATCATGATATGAAAGCGTGGAGATTAAGATGGATGGTGCCTGCAGCTCTGAGCAATCCATCTGGAAGCCTCTAAATGACAATGAATGGATACACACAGTGACCTTATTCCTAATTAAACAATCAAGTTAAAATATAATATTCAATGGTCGATTGAAGAAATTTTGTAAATACACACACACACATATATATATATATATATATATGTGTGTGTGTGAGTATTTACAAAATTTCTTCAATTGACCATTGAATATTATATATATATAATTATGAATGCCTTCGTAAGATTTGTCACAGGGGCCCTTAGGTATTCCCTGTGTTTCGCACCACTATGCTGAATTAGGATGGCTCTTCCCTTCCTTCCGAAGACAATATTTCCTAGGCACATTCCTTTACCAAATAATCAATAGTCATCGTCCGTCCTACGCATACAATCTCCTACAATTCAAATCATCTATCCACACCCTCTCCACAAGATCTCGTCCTTCTGACCTTTACACTCCTTTCCACAGATCTGCATCATTTAAACATTCCTTCGTTGTCCGTTCCACCGCATTCTGGAATTCCATCCCACTAAAAATCCGCCATGCATCATCCTTATCCACCTTTAAAACCCTCTTATTCCAATTCCTCTTCACAATCCAATCAGACGCTGGTTAAATACATACTATGTTATAAGGATTTAATTTTCTTTAGACATTATTTTTTTCTCTTATTTTTTATTGTTTTATTCTGTGTTGAACGTGAATTTTCATCACCACTCACTAAGCATTGTGAGTAGATAAAATTTGTTTTCCTTAAGTTCTAATTTGTTATTCATGGAATGTATTTCAGTGAAATGTATTTTATTTCTAATTATCTTCAACATACTTCTTGCTATGTGTATATATATACTTTATTTTATTTTCTCTTCTCCTAATCTTTACGCATAATCACTTAAATATCTTAGGGAACGTATGTATATCATTATTTGTTTTTTTACATATTTTTTTGTTTTAGTTTTTACAATTTCTTTTCCTACATATTAACAGTTATTATTATTTTTTTAAATTTCTATATTCCATCACTACAATGCTTTACCTATAAAATAGATTTTACCTTCCTTATAATTTCATTCAGTGATTATTATGCAATTATTTTAGCTCCAATATTGTAGTACTGAACCTCTATTACCAAACTGTCCTCGTTAATTTATCCTAAAAGCTTAATTAATACTTAATGTATTACATGTATTTTGTCATTATTCATTGTAATAAGTCTTTTGACCAGATTTGTAGTTAATATATATGAACAATACTGTTATTCTAAAGGGACCTAGTCCCAGAATAAAGATGATTTTTCTATTCTATTCTATTCTATATATATATATATATATATATATATATATATATATATATATAAATTATACAAGAGTACATGTTCCATTGGGAACAAAGTAGAAATTGTTACAATTTTTCAAAATAGGTAAATTAATTTAAAAACAATAATTTACTAACCCGATTCAGGTACTGGAAAAGGAATTATAGAATAGTGGAAGTTTATAAGATCATAGAAAACAGAATTTTATTTTATTATAAATTTACATTTTATTCTTACCTATTATCAATATTTTTCTTCTTGATATGATATTGATAGTAGAAAATGCTATCAGAGAAATTAAAATTATAAGGATAACTTATGACTTTTTGTAAAATTTTGTTCATACATTTTATCTAACTGTATTCTTTAGTTTTGTAAACGATTAAAGGAATATAACTTTTTTCTTTTTTCTCGTCGGTCCAAGACTCCCACTGAAGTCCTATAATGCATATAACTGATGCAATACTTGTCTAATGATTTTTTATACAGCATGCAATTTTTTCCAGTTTATATAGCAAACTTATCAACAGACTTGAGGATGATTAAATTTAAATAATCTTTTAAATAATTTTATTTTGTTTAAAACTCATTAAGTGAATATTTGTTTTCAATCTTCATTTATTTAAGACATTGCAACATTTTACCATGGATAGAATTTTACTTATTTCTCCCAGTGGCTGAGTGTCTGCAACAGGATACAAGTTCCATGAAACCTGAAATATGATTTGAATTATCACTCTGTCTCTCCCTGAACATTTAACAAAAATATTCAAATTTAGTGAATATTTACTGCTTTTTATTTAATTAAATAAGGGAAAAACTTTGCGGTTGAGCATGATCTCAGTCAAATCACAATCTTGCACAATGGTTGACCAAGAAATAGTATTTCCTTACAAAGTACTAAGCCCTTCATGGGTTGCAGTGGTGCAGGTAAGTAGGTAGTCTACTTTTGAGTCATAGGGAACAAATTGTAAAAATAATTTTAGACCATTATTGTTAATGTGCATTTTTTTTTTCTATTTTCCTTTAATAATCACCAATGATATAATCCTTTATTTGTAATTTGGTATAACCCATATATTAAAGGTAAGATATACAATAATTAAATGTGTTTGGTTTAAGAATTTTCATGAAATAAACATAAATTTTTTTGAAACTTGTCATATTGGAAAGCTAATTTTAGTCAACAGAATATTTTTTTGTCTTCCCTCAAATCACTTTTAGGCTATAAGGGAATTTCCTGGATCAGGGGAGGAGGTGGAAGATTAATGTATGAGTTGAAGCCTCCCTCGCAACAGGAAGTGAGCTCATAATTATTTTATCATATTATGTTCAGTTTACCAGGTTGCCAGGCAAAGGGTGTTTTGCACACGCGTTAATAGTCAAGTGAATCTTCCACTTCAGGGCTGGTATCCTTTCACCTCCTCAGTCCCAGATAAGAATTGCCATAGTTTTTATTTACAAAGAATGACTAATTCCCTTCCTCCCTTCTTCCCCCTTACATTTCTTCATCTAATCTAAATAATAAGAAGTTTTGCTAGAGAATATCAAAAGTTTCTATGGGAGTTAATTTTAAAAACTTCAGGGTTATCATAGGAAAATTCCAACCACACAGCCTTATGTCTCCAAATGCAGGCAAAGAAAAAAACCTGCCAACCTTTCGCCAATTCAGGCATTATCAGGACAGAAGAGAAAAGCAAATCACTCCATGACACCCAATTGCACATTCAAATATATATTACTGGTTGTCATGGAGTTATGTTCAATTTGCTTTTCTCTTCTGTCCTGACGATGCCTAAATTGATGAAATGTTGACAGGTTTTTTTCTTTGTCTGCATTATGGAGACCTAAGGCTGTATGGTTTGAATTTTTCCAATTATAACCTAACATTTATGTTCTGTCTCTTGGTGAGTTTTTTACTGATTTATAATTAAAAACACTCCGAGGCACCAATGTGGTCCTACAGTGGATTCCGAGCCAATGCGGTATTCCAGGAAATGAGGATGTGGATGGTCTCGCCAGGAGAGGATCAGAATTGCCACAAACAGTCCATCCAAAATCTTACAATTCAATTCGACGAATGGTGAGGATGGTAGTGAAGGAGGAAACAAAAAATATGCACAAAGACAAGGTGGAAGGGAGACATTATGGAGTTTGGTGGAAAACCCGATCCCAGCAGACCTACCAAGAAGAGATGCAGTAGCCTGCTTCTGCCAGGCCACTGGTCACGACTATCTACAAAGTCATATCCACAAGATAGGCGTGGCTGAGGATCCTAGGTGTAAATTATGTGAACAAGCGGAAATGGATGCAGACCACCTTAACAAATGTCCTGCTTTGACGGATATTAGGAATAAAACATATGTAAATGAATATATAAACAAATCAAACTCATACTGGGCAGCAAGATGTTGGATGGTGGAATGACCAATGACTATGGCATAGGAAAAAATAAATTAAATAAATAATAATTAAAAACTTACTTCTCCCTCAAAGATCATTTCAAAACTTCAGCTTTCTATAACGGACTGCTATTTGAGGATATTTGCACTTCCCAATGCAGTCACAAACCTAAAATCAATTAAGGCAACTTCTAAGCTTATGAAGAAAAAATCAAACTGTATTTAAGCTTTTGACAAAATAATATTTATTATATATCATTGTAATTTACACTTCCTTTGTACTCTATTCTTAGGAAGAGAGGGATGTGCATAGTGGATAATACATTGTTTATACCTCACGAATGCAGCAATAGTAAATATTACATTTGAAAAGAACATGCATTTCGTCAACTGCCATTTTCATACACAAAATTAATTTTGATCTATTCAAAAGCTTGGATGAAAGTCAATTTGCAGTGAAAACCAATCCTTATGGACAACCAATATGATCTACTTTTCAGACATATTTCTTAGACCCACCCAAAAAAAAAATTATAATAAGGACAAAATTATAATTTCAGTACAAAATAAATATTGGAAGAAAATAGACAAAATGCATTTTGATTGGGTGCATTCATTATGTGAATAGTAAAAAAATAACAATATACATAAAAACTTCTTAATTAATGACATCATAAAAATTTCTTCTCCATTAAACCAGTATATATATTTACATAGCATACAAATTAACACTCAATAATGTGAGGTTTTAAGCAAATATTTGTTTTATTTTAATTGATACGATATGGATCATAAGACGATAATATGCAAATGAGCATAAAAAAGAAACAATAAAACTAACATTCTTTTTTCTCTGGTGTTATTTAGCATTAATTTTTTTTTTAAATTTTACTGTCAGTGAAAGATCTATAAAAATGCATCTAACATAAAAAATTAAACGTATAATTCATGATGATGACATACTATATTCAATTATTTCAAAAGTAAACTAATGAATATCATCATATTGTTACATCATCTTAAGTACATTTATTTTACCTTTTGTACTTAACCAAAAAATATCAATCCGTTTCGCAGTGATAAATAAAATGATTTCATACCTTGGCAATTTTACATCTTCCATGTTTCTGGATAAAATAATACACTTCAGAAGTGCAACTAAGCAAAGATATTTTGTACAAATTATTGCAATAAATGACGAAAAATGAAGTAAGCAAAATCAAAAGCATTACATATAAATGATTTTCCTGCCTGATTGTACTGTAAAAAAAAAACAAAAAAAGAAATTTTAACAACTAATGATTTTAATATTAATTTTTTATAAAATCTTTAGATGTTTAGGACAACTAATTGTTATAATAAAATTTCATAACGTTTCAGTATTTTAATCGGTGTCAACATTTATTTTAAAATTTGTTTGAGCTTGTAATTTGTTTACCTTTAAGTTAATGGAATTAATTAAGTATATTACAAAACAAACATTCACTGCTATACATAGTAAAACAATTGAACAATAAAAATCTGCAGGTTGATTATCTCATGCATTCCTACTAAAAATTAAATTCTTCAATGATATTATTGATTGATTTAATGATATTTATAAACCTTATTTTGGTTTTTCATTTTTAGTATAATGTTGATTTAATTATTAAATTTTATCAATAAATGATTAAGTTTGAACATGATGTTTTTAATTAATATATATTAAGAAATTTTAGCTTTAATGCCATTTTCAAATATATTAAAACAAAACAAAAATCATGAAGAACAGAAGTACATTAAAATTGTACAGCTGCTCAACTCTGTTGAGTTGCTAAAACACCCAGCATACTGATCAGTCCTAATCGATATTATTTAATATCATTAATTGTTTATCTTTAATTATTTAATATTGAATATCGTTAATTGATATTATTTAATGGTTGAGAACAAAAGGATAAAGTATTAAGTAAAAGGATAAAATAAAAGGATAAAGTACCGAACGTCATAATCCACTCTAACAAATTAAAAAATTATATAGAATACTATTCTATAGTAGTAATTGTTTTGGTAAAAATCTAAATTTAGTTGTTTTCTTTTTTAGCTACTTGTCACAATTATTTTGCATTTCAATTATCTTGGTAAAATCAGCTTTCTTTATCATAATTTTCCTTGTAAGCTGATTTTCGGAGACATTTTTGTTTATTCCTCCTAAATAAGCTCCTATCAATTTAAAAACTATAGCATAGACTGAAATATAAATTTATAAAATTACCATAATAATTACTATAGTGGAGTAGTATGCTGTATAATTTTTAGTGATTTTTTTTTTTGACTGCTGTTGAGTTTAGAAAAAAAAACACCTGTACCACTACACCCGGTGAAGGGTCTTGTACTGCAGTCAGGAAGTAAAGTTACAAAGGCCAACGGCAGGGAGGGAATTGGGACGATATCGCACTCAATTGCCAGGTTTTCCCCTTAATTATTTTATAGAGGCTGGGCGTGTCCCAGAAGGATCTACCGACTCCAGAGTCGATCCACGACCCCACGGTTGATCCATAGCTAATGAAAAATTTCTAGTCATCAGTCGGATTCAAACCTGTGACCTTGAGCTCTGGTAGTCAGTGCTCACCCACTGAGCTACCCCACTCCCTTTAGTTTAGAATATTTGAAAATGGTATCAAAACTAAAACGTCATAATATACATGAAATAAAAACATTATGTAGAAAAGATTTTTTATTAATATATTAAATTGTGGGAGTAATGTGGTCTTTTGTGAAACCATAATCATTAATTGCTTAAATGTTATAACTATTGTCATTTTTTTTCAGTTCTAACAAACGAGGAAGTGTGATGGCTAAGAGTTTTGGGAGAGAGGATCTTGGATCACCTAGTTCAGATCAGTTGAAATACAATTCTCTCATTTGTAAATCCTAACATGCCTACACTGGGGATCTCTCTAGTTATCCTCTAGAGTCACAAAAAAGGCAAATATGGCTACTTTAAGGATTTGTGCCAATACCATGGACATACTCAAATAAAACATCAATACCATTATACAGGTTTAATCAAAATGTTTATGTTGCAAAGCTAAAAACAAACCCAGAGTAGCTGTAATATTTTGAAGTTGTGATTAAAATTTAATAAGGAGCTAATAATGTGCAACACTATTCATCTGCTATGTGTTTAAATAATTAAATGGGTAGTACAGTATACATTGTATTGGATGCTGAAATAATACAACCAACAGTTAGTGAATTGGAGGAATAACTGGAGAATTCTTTTACTATCATAACCAAGTTAAAAACAAAATAATCACCATATTTTCCATTGGAGATTGAGAATATTATAAAAATGTAGAGCAAAAAAGTTTAGGAAGCCAGAGTTAAGCAAATGAACTGCTTAATTCTCATTTCACGAATAAATAAAAATAAAAGTGCTTTTTTTTAATTCCCTGCTGTGGGACTGGAGGTGGTACCAGCCTCTAGCAAGTGGATTCAGATCTAATTGGGCGTATGAATAAAAAAAAATTACCGTTTTTCAACCAAATATTTGTATTATTATTTCTTTGATATAAAATACAATTAATACTCAAAGTAAAATCCATTGTTATCTACGATCATTAGCCATCTGCTGGCCAATGCTCGATCCCATGCTGATAACATTCTTTGGGATGGCTGCCAAAGAACTCTTGGACAGCAATTTTAACTTCCGCAAAATTATCAAATTTTTTCCCTTGAAGAAAATGAACCATGGATATAAATAAGTAGTAATCCGATGGTGCGAGATCTGGACTATATGATGGATGAGGCTGGAGTTGGAGTCCATATAGCCCTATAAACTTTTCTTTGGTTCGACGGGAAGTGTGAGACCCAGCATTATCTTGTTGGAATAAACTTTCTTTTCCGTTCATCAAAGCAGAATAACGCTCTGACAACTTCGCGGACAATATTTCTAGTTGTTCGCAATAGAGTTCAGAATTCATAGAGCATTCATCAGGAACAACTTCGTGATGAATAACATCTTCAAAATTCCAAAAAATGCAAAGCATGCATTTTTTTTCAAATTGCTCCCTTACAGCAACTCGTAAAGCAGTTTTACCGTGATCTAGCCATTGCTCAGGGGTATTCGGATTTCTCCAGTAAACCCACTTTTCATCACAGGTGACAATCTTCCGGTAAAACCTCATATCAGAAGGATTTTCAATCAATTTTCACAAATCTCTAACCTCTTAGCTGATTGCTGAGGAGTAACTTAGTGAGGGACCAGTATACTGCTCTTTCCCACCTTCTCCATGGAGAGTGGATGGTGACTAACAGTATCTTTCCATACATCACACTCCCTGGCAAGTTCGCGAGTACTTCTGGACGGATTTGACTCAACAGTTTCCTGCAGAATCTCATAAATATCCTTTAATGGTCGCCTGGAGGCCTTCATCCTTTTCAACGTCGTATCTCTACTGCTAAATTTTTCAAACCAACGCAGCGCAGTGCCCTGATAATGGACACATTCCCCTTCATATTTAATAATTTCACGAGTTGCTTCAGGGCAGTGATTTCTTTTTTTCATTCATGCCTAAAAATTACGAGAATTTCGTAGGACACTGTCATGTTTCTTCTTTGAAACGAATAACTAAACTGAGGCTTTTTTTTTAAGAAGTCGAATAGGATTAAAAAATCTTAAAGAATTCTCAAAAGGTATTAATAAGTATTAAATATGATTAAAATATTTACAGTCTTTTGAAATCTTGAATTTGATAAAACGGTCATTTTTTTTTTTTTTTTTTGCACACCCTATTAGTTTTTGGTAACTATCAAAACTTATTCCAACTTTATATACGACACACTAAAATAACTAAATATTTTTCCTAAAATGCACAAACAGCGATGATTTACTGAGGAACTGAAGTTTTATTTCCTTATGGCAGAAAATGCATTCGCCAATGCATAGCTGAATAATATGAAATATGAACATCCACTTATTGTGAAGTAATTTTTTTAAACGAAGTTCAATAAAAAAGTCATATTAACTACCATGACTTTTCATAGTGTAATAATTAGTACCGCAAAGCTCTGGCGTCGGCATCGGACAGATTGAATTTGTCAATGTAGCATTCAAGATTATACCAATGTTCACAAGGATTATACAATGTTAAATTTACACTCATTTTAAAAAGTAAAATAAAACTGGAAAGCACATGATATATTTTTAGAGATTCGCCTCAACGAAGCGCTATGGCAACCTATAGACGTGCCTGCTGTATCTCATAAGTTTCAAACACGTTTTAGCATGAAACAAAACTATAAATAAAAAAATATTATTTATGTGAAATCAGAATTAGGCGCATTTTACTAAAATATAATACTAAAATAAGCAAAAATCTCGAAAAGAAACATTATGAATGGAACAATGCAAACTATAAAGGCATGAGTCTGTCTAAGTCAACAGGCAGTTAGACTGTTTACTTGAATGTTGAAGACTCATGGCTGCCAATGGGTTGGGCTCATCCATTCCAACAAATTGCTATAGTTTGAACTTCATGAACATATCTACTAGCAGGTGTAGTAGAATTATTTTTAACGGTGTCCTGTTTTGAATAAATAAACTCACCTAAACTTTAAAGGGAATCGTCTATTAAAACACTGTACTGTATTAGTTTAAAGTATTTTGTGTGACAACACTTTTTTGTTATCAGGAAGGGCTTGAAACAACTCAATACCTGCCTGAGATATTAATTTTTCATATAGGTATCTATTATATATTTCATACAGGGATATATTCCAAACAACATTCCAACCCTCTCAGGCTTCCCAGCCCGTGATCTTATAATTTGTCACTCTCTTTCCCCCCAATAAGGTTCATATGTTGGCGGCTATGCTTGACTTTGTAGTTGGGATAATTAAATTAATAATAAATATATGTACTCCTAAATATTTTTTTCATTCAGTTGGAGGGAGGGGCGATTAGTATTATATTATTGTTAAGAAGTCAGTCACAACAGATGTTTGTTTTATAAATAAATGTTATACATATCTATTGTTATTTATCATATTGTTAAAACATTCAGATGTGAAAAACTAGTGCGCCGAATGGGCTGACGCGTTGTGCACAGCACCACCGTTGTCCGGCAACCTGATATATTGCAAATGTGTTATAAAGATAGTCACGAGTTCGCGTCCCTATGCCAAGGCGTCTTTTAAATCCCCGCCCACACCCCCTGGCCTGGGAAAACCCCGTATAGCTTAAACGGCGAGGAAGGGGAGGACCCAAAAAAAAAAAGAATAAAAAAAAAAGTGAAAAACTATTGTAGTAAATTGAGACAAAAAGATTAAATGTTATAAAATCTCTGTAAGTTTTGTGTTGGAATAAAAGTGAGTTTTATTTCAATCTGAGTACTCAAATTTATTTTATTCGAACCAGGGATCAAATATAACTATTAGTTATATATTGAACCCCAACTGAACAATTGTGAGTGATAATTAACATAAATAATATAATTACTGTAAAACATTGTAATTAAAAATAAATATTATTTTATGTATATATTTTTTTTTCGTGTGGTTATTTGATAATATCTTAATAAAGCAATTGAATATATTACATATTTTAATATTTATTTAAAGGTTCGAGGGAGTGAGATGAACTCTTAATTCTCCGATAGTTAAATTTGCATCAGGAAATTTGATCAAATCTTCACGTAATAAGGGAACATTTTATCTAGTCGACTTTTCCTATTAGTCGAAATAGGAGAGAATTCTTAATGGATTTTAGTTTACATATTTTATTCATACATTTAGAGTAATTGTTGATTTTGATTTTTTTTTTCTTCAAAATATTGGGGGGAGGCCGAACCGATATTCACGCACCTCTCCATATTTATTGGGGCGATAGCCTCCACGCCCTACTAGTGTTGCCAAAAATCAGTCTCGGTCTTGCACTTTGCAAGACTAAGACCAAGACTGGTAAAAAAAAAAATTGTCGATTTTGTAAATAACAATTAAGGCCAAATAGTTACCAAAACTTGACAATTTTATTTACCATGTGTAAGAAATTGATATAACCAATATACTTTTGCATTTAACTCTTCCAATTTTTCATTCGGGCTAAGTAAGGTTTCCCCTATCTGAAAAATTACAGTAATATCTCTATAGTAATAAGCAAATAGGTAATTGCAAGACTGTTGTGAGACTTGTGCAAGACTAAGACTGAATAACCAAGCAAGACTCGTCTTGGTCTCGCATTTGGACAACACTACACCCTACCCTCCCCTCACCCGAAGTCCATTTGCAAGACTTGGTTATCGGGAATCATGATACCATAAAACGCGTATTTTCGTTGAAAACTGAGATACTAACTTTTTCAGGGTCACTATGCATTTCCTTACTAAATAGCGAACAGGTAAGTGATAATAAAGATGTAAATATCTTTATGGTTCTGCAATATCATAATAAAATCACGAAAAACGGTTATATAAAATATATACTTACTAGAGATTCGATGCAATTGAAATTGTGAACACATTTAAAATTACTTAAAAGATAAAATAAGTAGTCTATAATAGGTTAGAAAGTTATCAGCATCTTCCAGTCTAACTTCGTAGGGGAATGCTATCTACAGAAGCGTTTCCCGCTATCTTCTGATTGTAATTTTTTTTGCACAATCACGTTGGCGTATAGGGAGAGAATATCTAAATGTGTACCAAAGAGGATGTTCTAAATAAGAAACTAGGATGAGAGGGAAGAGATACAAAACGGGGTTGAACGTCCTCTGTGTATCTGTGATCCTCAGTCCTGCATCCTGCGCTCGGCTAGTAGACCACCTCCTGTCATGTTACTTCACCAACTTCTGTAAGTATCCTGAATTAAAAAAAACAAATTAATTATAAATTTTATATTAAAGAAATAGTTTATATTATTATAAACTAATAATAATCAATATGTGATAAATGATTCTGCTCTTTTCTACTTTATGCACATCAGTGATATTTTTCTGTGTTTTTGCATTTGGATTAAAATATCTCAGAAACTAAAAATCGGACCTGCATACTGTAAGTAAAGAAAAAGTTAAAAATTTTATCTTCGTTGTAATGAGTTATTACTCAAAATTTCATCTTAATGTAACACCGTGTTAGAGAGGCGAAAATGGAAAAAGGGTACGAGTTTGGTTGAACGTATCGATTAAAATATCTTAGAAACTAGACCTGCTACTCTAAGCTAGTAAAATATTCAGCATTTATGATGAGCTATCATTCAAAATTTTATCTTAACGCGATGCCGTGTTAGGGAGGTGAAAAGAGAAAAATATTGTCTAAAGCCAACTCATAACGAGTTTTATTGAAGATATGGATTAAAATATCTCAACAACTAAAAATTAGACCTGCATAGTGCAAAAAAGAGAAATGTTCAGCATTTCATTGTTTTTTTAATGAGCTATTATTCACAATTGTATCTTAAGGCATTACAGAGTTAGGGAAGCGAATAGGGAACAAGTTAGCGTCACTGTTGTGCTTAAAGTAGAAAAGAGCCAATGATTCAATATATTTACTCATTTATAGTGTCCCTTACTGGTGGTTCTTATATTACTTTAAATACAATATTATCTCTAATCTATAATAAAATATAATTAAATATACAATCGATTACTCCCTTTCAGATGTTGGCTGGTATCCGTCCCGTCGTTGGCTTCCAGCTTGCACACCGGGTTTTGGGGTATCAGCGATTTGGAAGAGAACAGCATTCCTCAGAAGAGGAAAATTTGCTACACTGACGAGTGCAGAGAAGCTGGTAAGATCGTTTTAATATAATCATATGAATACTTGTAGAGTTAATGCAAAAGGTCGTATGTTAAAATTGAGCATAAAAAACCGATTATTTCCTAATGGTTTATTAGTATAATTTCATATTTTATTTCCCTATGCTCTTTTCTCATTTAGCAAACTACTTATAGCAGTTGCAAGGTACAAAATGCCACTTATAGCGCAAAGATAATAAACACGTAAAATTGTTAAATTCAACCTTTTTCACTAACAGTAGTGATATATTTAATTTTTAAGAAATAGAATTATAATATTTTAAAATATAGATAGCCTCTGATTTACAAAATAGTAGGATGGACCACCGGCGAATCTACGGAGGCGGAATTTTTGGGCTGAAGGTCTCCCTCTCTCCCAAAATAATAAAATACAACCATGAATTATGAAAAAAATATTATCTCTAACAGTGTTATTGTTCGTGTAATTAAATTAGATAGGACTTCAAAAATCATTATTTCATATAGCAAGGATCTTTCTTCATCTTCCAAAGTGATAATCGTTTTATATATATATATATATATATATATATATATATATAAACATCTGAGCGTATCACACAACTTTCACTTACCACCCTCTTCTTAGCAGAAATAAGAATTTCAGACAAAGAGAACGAATTATAGACGCTATATTTATTTATATTTCATTGTAGGTATTTTTATTTGTATAAGTACTCTTATATATACAAATTTTAATACTTATATCAGTGTAATCTATACAATTAAACATTTAGCATTTATGAAAACCGCATATGTATATTTAAATTATATTGTCGGAGTCATTATATTAAGCTCATGTTACGTATGGAAGCATGTTCTAATCGAGCAAGCTCGGATTCCTTTGGTTCCTCAATTACATCTATTCTCCGTTAAGATCTCTTATTTCTCCTTTAGTTAATTATTAAATTCTTTCATATTTTATATTTAACTATCTATTATATTTGAAATGATCAGTTGTTTCAAATAAAAAAAAATAAAGGTACTTTAGGGGAAGCTAATATTGAAAATTAGCCATTTAAGTTAGAGAACATCAATCATAATAAAACCTATATTATATTCAAAACTGCTTAATTTTACACTGATATAATGAATTTAATCAAAATCTTTAAAGACGTTTTCTATAAAATCGTAAAAATGTGTAAAGTTCTAGATATGAAGTGCCACTTCCGATTAGCCGATTTGCTGTAACATCCCAAGTATACAAAAACCTTAAATATGTAATTTAACTTTCGTACAACTTTTCGTTTTTGAGCTACTGTTAACACACACATAGACCATTTTGCGGGACTTGGTTATTTGGACTCAGGGGAACTCAAAACGTGTATTTCCGTTGAAAACTGAGATTAGAAAATTTTTACGATCGCAATACTTCCATT